CTCTAGGTCGTAAATCAAACATCTTTGTGTGGGGTTGGATGTTTGATTTTTTTTGGGTGGGGGAAACTGTTATGACCCAGTGATGTGTTTGTTGGTGTTGTGCCTCCCACCGGAGGATGGTGGCGGTATTTTCCCTTTTTTCTCTCCTAGGTGGTGGACACCTGGGCGTGGCTGCTAGGTATCTGGGTGGAGTCTCTACACACCTTCCGACTGGATAATTGATGGACCACCTCCAGTACTTAACGTCCGGATGACAGTCACCTGGGAGTGCTGTTTGGAACCCCGTTGACTCGGTCACGGGGTTGTGTGTTGTGTCATTGTAGTGCAGGCTGGAGTATTCACGTGTACCTCTAGCCTTGCCATGTAAATAATTGTAAATAAGTTAACCAGTGGCGGTCACTTTTTTGTTCCTTTGCTGTATAACTTTCACTGTCGCAGCCTAGTAGGCGTGAGAAGCCGTTTTCTTTTGTTGAACAAGTTTTCTCCTGTTTTTCGTTAGATAGTTAGGTAAGTGACTTGTCTTTTGTTTTGGTTTCTTTTTATTTTGGTGTAGGGAAGACTAGGGATTGTTTTATAGGGAGTTTTGTTTATTGTTTTGGCATTGCTCACTGCTGATGAAAATAAATGGCTGCTTAAATACGTAAAAAAGGTGTCGTTGTTGGGGTTTGTGCGTGGGTGGGAAGTGAGTGGGGCAAACTATTTGTTACGTTTATTTACTTGCCGGGACCAGAACGTAACACGTTTTTAAAGCTTTGTAATGCGACAGGTGCGATAGCCGACACCACACCTTCACCTGACGTACAACGTGACGTATGACGCACACGTCGGGTATTCACTTTCAAAACAACAATGGGGATAGAAAATATTGCTCGAGGTGGTTAATGCTCCTTTCGCTGGTTGCCAACCACCATTAAATAACAACAAGAAGAAAATATTGATCTGCTTCTCTTAGTTTTGCACGTTTAAGCCGCAATTCAGACTCAAAAAAAGCTGCAAAGCAGGAGAACAACATGGCCATCAAATATTCTGTGCCACAGATACAGTTCGCTGCAGCACAGAGTGATGATGAGACCGTTAACATGTGCAACTTAGAAGTAGTCAGAGGTAACTGGATGTTCAATCGGGTTAAATGCAAGGTTGATTGGATTATATCTGAAGGTCGTATGCTATTCGTGGTAACTCTGCTAGACTCCAAATTGCTGCTCGTCCATGCGGGAGTATCTCAAAATTAAATGAAACCACTTAACACTTTTCCCTAAAACGGACTGACATGGGACACATTAAAGTTGGATCGGAACCTGCTAATCAGTCTGAAGGTAAGTGTTTTTTTCACTTATTCGAGAGAAGTCCGAAATGCGTTCTTAGTACTGTTTGTTTTGACTTTTAAGCTACCAGGATATTTTCATTTAAAGACAAAATGTCAATATCTCTGAATGTGGAGACTCAAAAGACTAGTTAGGTAATTTGCCGATGGATTTATGAGACCTGATAGAAACTTGGACGTTTGCAACAGGTGAATCGGTGAACTACCGAGGTTGCGCCCAAATGCTTAAAGCTGTTAGCTGGTCAGTGTTTTCAGGTGTGCTTGTACTACCTGTACGGTGCGGAGTGCTGACTAAGTCATGTTAAACCCATTAAAGCGTCGAGCTCAAATATCTTTTCATGTTTGTGCACTGCTCTCTTGTCGGCACACATTTTCTGTTTATTGAAGCCTTTTGTGAATAATTTTGATCATGTAAAAACTGGGAATTGGTCCCTATTGACAATACTCTTATTTTTTGCATTGAATATGTCATTCAGGAAAGGTAATTGGTCACTGAAGTTTTTGCAACTGTGTATTTCTAAATTTTGTGGCTTCAGTGCACGCAAATTTATATTGTTCAGTTTGCATGTTAAAAGCCTGCCAAGCACCCCAAGGCTGATTATGCTTGGTAAGAAGTCATTTATGACATAGAGCTGATTAGACCATATTAAAATTTCTGTTTGGCACAGGAGCTTTTTATGGACACAGGTATCCAGTCTCTGTTTTGTTAGCTCAAATTTCTGTAATTTCCTTTATAAACCAAGGTTGTTGGACATGTGTCTCAGTGAATCCAGCAAAGTAACAATATCAAATTTCACATTACATATTACTGATCAACAGTAGTCTAGCTACACCAACAGCAGAAATACTGAAGTCAATACTGTAAAGTTTAACAGCAGCACAAACTATAAACTCCAAAATAACCATACAGTTGATTCACCTCCGGTACTTTAACTGGGCTGACTCTTTGTTAGGTGTGTTTAATGTGCAGAATAATTCCCAATTATGTACAATTATAATATGTTAAAATGGACTTATGTACATAAGGCCATTAATAATTAACTGTACGTAGCTATTTGCTTTATGACTATCTAGACAGTGTGAAGAAGTGAAGTATTGAAATTATTTTATGTTGCATAATGACAACATGTTGCCCCTATACATTTAAGGACAAAGTTCAATGACCGCCACCTGCTGGATGGTGAGTGCAGAGGGGCGTGTAATTGTTGAGCTGGACAAAGAGAACACCTGTGCTGATGCAATGTCAGTCTTCTTTGGTTCATTCTATGTATTGAACCTGGAATACCAGGAGTCAGCGTGTGCAAGGTTTTTTGTAAGGATAAACCCTGAAGAGGGAACAAAATGTACCTCCAAGGTTGGGACAAGCAGGAAGACTGGGACCACTGTGAAGCGAAAGGTTGTTCACATTAACCCTCATGTCACAACTTTCCTCCAGTGGCTTACTGAATTTGAGTGGAGAACTTCAAATTAGGGAAATTAGTAAATTTCTTGTATAATTTAAGTGACCAATGTGTTGTTACCCATGTCTCCACAGATGATCCATGGCCCATGCTTTCTGGACATTTACACAAGACGAGCAACAATGAAGACAAGCTCTCTCGCCATCTTGCAAGACGCTGTCTCTGTCCAATAGGTTTTTTTGAGTGCAACAGTTTTGATTTTTTTTCCTTCTTTTACCCATCCATCCATCCATCCATTCCTTCCGCTTATCCTTTTTCAGGGTCGCGGGGGGCGCTGGAGCCTATCCCAGCTGTCATAGGGCGAAAGGCGGGGTACACCCTGGACAGGTCGCCAGTCTGTCGCAGGGCCAACACACAGGGACAGACAACCATTCACACTCTCATTCACTCGCACATTCATACCTAGTGGCAATTTGTATTATCCAATTAACCTATCCCCACAAGCTGCATGTCTTTGGACGGTGGGAGGAAGCGGAGTACCCGGAGAGAACCCACGCAAACACGGGGAGAACATGCAAACTCCACACAGAAAGACCTGATGGTGGAATTGAACTCAGGACCTTCTTGCTGTGCAGCACCAGTGCTAACCTTCTTTTACCCGTTTGTTAAAAATTATTTCAGCTACTTACACTTTAATTGTCACATGTATTGGCTCACCCTACAAATCAATGAACTCAGTCCACAAAGCAAGATCAGGGTTCAGTGCAGGTCAGTCAAGTTCCTTCACACCACACACGCTCATCCATGTCCTTGTGGACCCTGTTTTGTGCAATGATTTGGTCGTGTGAGCCAGTATTTTGGACAAAGTGTATATAAAGGCAGACGTGTGGGGCTTGATATTATATCCATTACAATTCAGTTTTTTGTATGGTGCCAACAAAATGAATGCCAAGGCACTTCACATTGTAGGTTTGAGACCCTACAAAATATAAGTAAGGAAACCCAACACTTGAGCATGTGTTGTCTGCCATGATATGGATATGACATAATATCGTTATTGTTTGTACAACCATCTGAGAAAATAATGGATTACATGGTTTAGTAAAAACAAGTGCTTCCTCAATGAAAATATGTTTTCAGTTCTTTTCAGTTTTTGATTTTGGAAATGTGTATTTCAGCAGGGAAGAATCAGAATTGAAATAAAGTGGTGCAAAGCACATGAATTATATTTTGTGTGTGTGTGTGTGTGTGTCTATCCATCCATCCAATTTTTTTGGAACCCTCCAGTCTCTTACAGTATGTTACTGTTAACTGAAATTACGGTAAATTACGACCTGTTAAAAGAGTAAATGACCGCCTGTTGGGACACGGTATCCTCTAGCAGAGATGAATATTTTTGGTACTGATGATGCGTGATAACGGTAAGTTACTGGTTAATATATTGCAGTTTATTACCTTGCAGCGGGCTTACAGTGACATACCGTGAATAAGCGGTAGTATACCAATTTCTTAATCACAGTATGATGTTACTTTGTTGACGTAATTTACGACATAACGACATAACGGTATCTCACTGACATAACTGTCGCCAGTGAGATACCGTAAAAAAGGCTACGGTGCGTTACCATAATTTGTCCAAGAGTATTATACCACACCAGCAAAAAACGGTATCATCCTGCAGAAAGGTAAGCTAGCGTAACACGGCGTCACGGTATGACGCTGGCAGCAGTGACGCCAGTATGTTACCGTAAAGTGGCGATGAAAAGTCTAACAGTGCAGATTCACGGAGTAATCAGAAAAGTTTAGCATGAATCTGGACATTAGATTTAAGTTTTAAGCTTATCAGATATCACTTGTTAGAAGCTCCTTACCGTTTGAATAAATCTCTTCTCAATCTGCTGTCCTCTTCTGCTTGCATCTTTTTTTTTTCATCTAACACTGACGTTATTCCATGTTAATTATTTTTTCTCCGTGAAAAACATAGCAACTCATCTTATCCCGGGGTGCCAGGAAGTCGAGCTGCGGATCTCAGCAGAAAACTTTTCAAACTGATTGCAGGTTGATCCAGGTATACATTTGAAACAGGTTCTCCTCTGTGACGTGACAGTCGGAACGCATCTGCGTAACCATGGTTACAGGGGGACGCTTTGGAGCTCTGCTGCTCAGCAGCAAAATATTTCAGATCACTATGTAAATACTCCAACTCTAAAACCAAGTAAATAAATATGCTGCATATGTGTATAGTGCGTTCATGTGTGTGTGTGCGCTGCGTGGTACGTAGGCGCGTGCATGTGTGCCCCGGTCACAGCTCCTTTCAGCATGGCCGGAGGTAAGTCACTGCCACGTTGCTCTCAGCTAATTAAAGTTTGTTCAGATCCCAAGCTGCAATGTGAATACAGCCAAACCGCCGCGTTTTTGTTTGTCATTAAGAGACTCATTCGGGATAAGTTTTGTGGAGGGCGGAGTTCACTAATATACACTTATGAGTTTTAGCCGAGAACGCAGCTAAAATGCTAGCATGCTAAGTTAGCCTGATTGCTAGCGGCTACTCGCGGCAGTCTTTTTTTAACAGCATGCACTCTTTTTTCCTTCGTCAGGAGAGGTGTACTGGCAGTCGCGTGACACACACAGATCAGACACATATTTCTGTGTTGCAGGTATGGAGATGTTCTTATGTTTTGGAGATGCAGTCTTTCAGTCATTGTTTTTATAAGTACAGTGTTGTACTGCCTGTTAGATGGCGGTTATTAATATAATTGTACTGAAGTATAATGTTTGAACTATAAGTACCAGAATATTGGGTCCTGGTTATTGAATTGTATTTATCTGACTGTTTATTTGTTTTTGAATTATTTTGTTTATTGTTCTTATAAGTTGTTTTTGATGTTTTTTCAGTGACATATTATTTATTTTGTGCTTTTTGTTTTGAGAGCTTAAGTTAATGTTTTAAAACAATTTGTTGTATTTGATTCATTATATTATTGTAGTGTTAATGAAGCTGCAGACACAGCTGCTTTCAGCATGGCCGGAGGAGAGGTGTACTGGCAGTCGCGTGACACACACAGATCAGACACATGTTTCTGTGTTGCAGATGTGCAGTAAAGAGCCAAAGACCCAGTACTGTCTCCTGCCTCTTACTTTCACGCCAGAACACAACGCAAGAACAACAGGCGTAACACATGAACGGGTTACACATACTGAGGTGAGTTGTTGAGGATATGTCGAGCTGTCGATAAGCACGGCTGTTTTTGTGCTCTTATATACTGTTAGCCTGTTTTGCTGGCGTTAGTGAAGCTGTTTTCAACTGGATGTAACATTGTTGAACTCTGATGATTAATGAATAAACTCGATGTGACGACGTGAGCATGTAATTGTAACCCTGTGTTCATTTAGTCGTTTGATACCGTTTAATATCCAGTACATCTATTGGGTGTTTTATAACATGCCCTGGAATCATTTTAAGTTTTACAATGCCGGTGATTTACGACTCTTTCGCGACAGTCAACTGTGGCGTAAACTCTGGCGGGTCTCAGAGCTAGCTTATGTGAGCCAGCAGTGACATCTATACATGCAGTAGCCTTAAAATACTGATTATTTATTCTCCTGCTAGGTAAGAATTTGTGTTTTATACGTTTATTGTCACATTGTGCGCCATGTTATTGTTTCGGTGAAATGAATTTCTACAATGGCGGACTTAGACAAAATAGTGTTACTGTTAATTTGACTCTCTGCAGTGTTTAAATGCTTACATATACACACACAGTTACTGTCCCTCCACACGTAGGACTCAGTTCTGCTTCTATGCCCCATCTTTGTTTACTCTTTCCCACCCAACAAGTGCATAAATAAGATGTTAAAAACGTCATCATCATATCAAACATGATCGATTTGGGGGGAGTTTGTTTGGCACATGCTGACTGCATCTAATTATAATCAGAAGAGGAGGCGAGAGCAGAGAACGAGAGTGCAGCAGTTTGGTGAAAGGAACAGGTGAAGAAGAGGTGAGCATCCAAGAGACGAGCAAGAGGACAGTTTCAAAGCAGACATTATGGCACAATAAAAGCTGTAAGAGCAGAGATTCATTCATATCTTTACTATTTTTCTTTAGCTTTTACTCCCGCTGCTTACAATAAATCCGAGATAAAGAACAAACAAGAACAACTCACATGGCATTGATTGTTTAGTTCAGTGTCACTCTGTGATTGTTTGACATTTCATATAAATGTGACTCTAAAATATAGCCAATAATAAAAAGCTGCTGTTACTGAGTGAAACTTGAAGGATTATGATAAACTTCAGTTCTTACTGAATCTGTAACATTGCTTTTTTTAAAATTGTTAAATGACTTTTGTGTCACTGTGCACAGTGAAAAACTCACCTGATGTAGTGGTGAGGCCATGTTCACCACTAGATGGAGACAACCTGGCACAGGTATTTTCTATACACTAAATTTCACACTGAAAAGCCTTGGTGGGAATTTTTGTTTCATAGAAAGTAAAGGAAAACATGTCTTGAGGTCTTTTTCCAGTGTTTTCAAAATTGTGTTTTTCACATACACATCAAAACTTCGCACAGACAAACACACACACAAAACAACAAAATATGTCAAATTACATATTTTGTTGACTATTTTGTTGACTATGCACCCCTACCCATAATAAATGGGTAGGGGTGCATAGTCAGTAAAAGTCACCAAGGCTCTGCAGAGCTCCAAACCTGCTCTGCCACAGACAGAAGCATCAAAAATGTGCGCTGGGAGCTTCATGGCATGGATTTCTACAGCCAAGCAAATCTATATGTGTGTGGCCAAGAACCTTAGTCCATGTAGGGCATCTTAGCACAGTTTACTTGTGTCAGCTAGTGGGAGGGCAGAGAGGGCAGCCTTTACATTGTTTTATTGTAGAGTGACAGGAACTGCCTATGAGCTTCTAATCAAGCAGAAGTGTTGACGGAAAATCTATCAAAGGAAATACATTGATGAAAATCAAAGAAGAGAAATATTTATGTGATGTTCCATTTTCCTGAGAGCTGATTGGCTGTGATGACTCCTTCAAGTACTACATGCTACTTTGTCCTGCTAGTTAAGCCTGCTGTCTGTTCTCAGGCCTCCTCCTGTTTCACTGCCATATATCCACCACCAGAGGGCTCCACTGACCTGCCTGCTGACATCAGAGCACACCCCTGTGTCATGTGACCTGGCAGGAGTAGCAAAGCTGGACTCAGACCTGGCCAGGCAAGTTCAAAGGCAGCTGTGGTAGAGAGAGTATATGGGCTCAAATTGTGGTCATAAATATTTTGTACTTGTAAATCAGGATTTGTGTGTGTATGGGATCAGAACAATGCCACCTTGAAATGAAACTGAAAAAAATATTGAAACTGAAATAAATGTACAGCGCGGCTGCAGTCACGGACAAACTTGCATGTGTCTGTTCGGGAATGGCAGATGCTGAGAGGTCCAGCGTTTACATTACCGGCTATTTCAAAGTGACAGCCTGAGGTGTTCTTCAGTAAATTGGACTACCAGACAGGAGGACCTGAGGCCCCACCGTATTATTTTCGGTAAGTTAAATGTGTGTGTAAGCTAATCCGTAACTTAGGTCCTTAGGTGAGCACTCGGCTGTCGGGGAAACTTGTTTTGTAAAGTTCGTTTAGCTAACCCGTGCAGGTGAATGAATTTACCCTGACTAAAGAAATCAAGAGAAACGCACCGGGCTGCTCAGTGACTAACCACGCTTACTGTACTTTCTTTATGAGCAACAGGCTGGACTCTGCTTCTGCTCCTGTGCAGAGCTGATTATTAAATATGTGCAAACAGCAGCATGTTTTCTGTCGCTTTCCACATGTGGAACGACATTAACGCCAACTTTTAAAAACCTGGCACTTCAGTAACCCCTCATTAGTCAATAGCTACGGATTAAATAGCAAAGCCCGATACTTATGTACTGAAACCAACTACTTCCGCTTGGCAGCTTAAGTTAAAATGTTAATTTTTTCCTCTGATTATTTTTTTAGCACTGACTCTGTATATTTTTTGTTTGTTGCAAATATTCAGGTTAAAAAACTGTCCGAATTATATTTAATGAGGTATGTTCACAAAGTCACATGTGCAGTACTCTGTATAGCTTGCATCCTTTAGGACAAATAATTTGAAGCATTAATATTTCTTGTTCAATACTGAGCTGATAACACCTCCGTATTGTCATGGCCCTGGGTCATGTGACCCAGTATTCTGAGTTTCTTGGTGTTTTGTTATTCTTTTTAGTCTAGTTTCATTTCGGTTTATCTAGTTCAGGGGTGCCCAATCCCGGTCCTCGAGAGCTACCGTCCTGCAGCTTTTAGATGCATCCCTACTCCAACACAGCTGAATCAAATGGTTTGATTACCTCTTCAGCATGCCATCGTGTTTGGCAAAGGCCTGATAACAAGCCATTCATTTGATTCAGCTGTGTTGGAGTAGGGATGCATCTAAAAGCTGCAGGACGGTAGCTCTCGAGGACCGGGATTGGGCACCCCTGATCTAGTTACATTCTGCCATGTTTCATGTCCAAGTTTTCTTTGTTTGTCAAGTTCATGTCACGTCTAATCTCCATGTTTTCTGTTTTACTTTGAAAGTCTGTATTCAATGTCAGTGTATTCAGTTTCATTTCTCCTGTCCTGTCGTTAGGTTCATGTGTGTCAGCTGTGCTCCCATGTGTGGCCACTTCCCCTGATCATCCCTCATGTGTATTTAGTCTCTGTGTTTCATACAGTCTGTGTCGCGTCGTCTGTGTACTTCCCCCGGTCAAGTTAAGTGTTTTTCAGGATTCTGTGCAGTTCATGTTTGCCATTTGGTTTATGTTGTTTTTCATGCAGCCGCACGATGAGGTTCCGTGCAGGTCATGTTCATGTCTCTTTCGTCACGCCACTTGGTTCACAGTTTCCATGCATCTGCACAGCATTCTGTTCACAGTGATCATAGTTATGCCTTTCAGTCAGGTTAGTGTTTTTCCAGTTTAGGTTTTTGGTTAGTTGCAGTCTCAGTCCCTGTTATGTTTTGTCTACTCCCTTCTGCATCAGCCCAAATAAAGGCTCGCTTTCAGTTTAAGTTTTCCTTAAAGTGTCCTTAAGTGTCCTTCCCAGCGCTCATGAGACTGCTTTGCTGCACTGTGGTATGAGGTGCTAACCTGTTGACAGTGTTAATTTTAAAATGTATTCCACCAAAGATAATAGAAGTAACATATTCTGAATACTTTACAACTACATGAATATCCTATTGCTGTGTGATTTATTACTATTACCGAAGGTTACTCTCCATACCAACACCAACTAGATGTTTAAATCTTAATATAAATGAGTAACAGTAGGTGCACATTAGGTAAGGCTGCACTTTTTGCAGTGATCTCGTAAATAAAACAGGTCCGCGGCTCCGAACCGTAGTAAAGGGACCTCTGGCTAATACGTTGGGGTTTTTTTTTTTTTTTTTCCTGGATCACCTGTTGAGAAAGAAAAAAGAAAACAAGCAGAAGAAGACTAGAGCAATAAAATAAACAACACCATGATGATCTATGGGAATATAACAGTAAATACTAAATGTTAAACATTATTGTGCAGCACGTAAGATCGACAGCGCACAGTGTGCTTTAAGGTAGGAGCCAAAAAGGAGCAGAGCAGCGGCGTTAAGGACGTCCTCGCCGTACCTGGGTCCATCAGGTCCTCCAGACGCGTGAGCAGTTTGGTGAGTTTCACCATTTGCTCCAGGAGCTGCGCCTGGATGACGGCAGATTCCAGCAATACCACCGTCTTTCACTCGCCCAGTTTGAGGACCTGCTGTCCCGCGTTGGTCCCAGCATTGCCCGCCTTGACACCAACTACAGACGCTCAATCCCACCTGCAGAGCGCCTGTCCATCTCCCTGAGGTTAGTAAAAGTGTTTAATACGGTAGTCCTTTATTGATACCTGTGCTAACATGGATGTGCTATGCTATCAATGAATGCTGTCGGTGTTTACTGATAGCAAGCTGTGGTACGGAGACGACTGTTTATATTTCTAGTGATACTCGGTTCATCAGTCCGTTTACAGTATTCGTTTATGCGTTATCAGTTTTGAATGATAGCATGCTGTGGTTCATATCATGTATGCTCTCGTTTGTGATATCAACTGTATGACCTGTGGTTATCTTGTAGTGATACTCACTCCTTTCTTTTATTTAGACCTGGTTTAATTCTGGGATAGTTGAATATTTGTATATAATCCCAGCAGACTGTTTTAGATTATATCTAATATATATCATGTAATTATCCTTGTAATTACAAAAGGTTTTATGTAAGATTTATGTTTTGTAATTTAAATCTGACATCACAAAAGTATTTTGGAATTTGAATAATGTATTTTGTAACTGCAGCATTTTGTCCAGGTTCCTTGCCACCGAGGACTCCTTCAGGACCATCGCATTCAGTTTTCGAGTTGGCATGTCCTTGGTGAGCCAGATCACCCCCCAGGTAGCGACGTCCATCGGGACTGTCTAGTGGACGACTTCATGGCTGTGCCTTCAACTGAAGACTGGCGGTGCATTGCAGAGGGATTCCAGGAGCGCTGGAACTTCCCTCTCTCCCTCACAGTAGAGGTTGTATCTGCGCTCCATGGAGCTCCGTCCTGAAATTGCGGAGAAGTGTGTGAAGGCAACGTGTGTTCTCCACAATTTTCTGTGCTGTTTGGACAAGAGAGGGGCACCTGCTGTGAGGGGTGTGGCACCTGCTGTGAGGGGTGTGGCACCTGCTGTGAGGGGTGTGGCACCTACTGTGGTGGAGCCGTTGCAAGGCCTGGGTCGTGTAGCAGCAAACAACTCCTCCAGAGAGGCTGTCCTGGTGGGGGAGAAGTTCATGGCCCACTTCTCGGCGGAGGGAGCCGTGTCTTGGCAACCAAAGGAGTAGCCTGTTTGAAGTCTGAGTGACTTCCCCACAACGGCTCTTTTGAGAGCCACCCACAAACCTCTAAAGAGTGTTCCTGTCTTTTTTAATTTTTCTTAATAAATGGAGCTCTACTCCAAAATAAACTAACCTCTCTTTACTCTCTTAAAGACATATTTACATATAATTGTTACACAAAGTTTTGGCTGTCTCACCTTGTTTTGGTACAATCTGCCAGGTGTAACAATTTTTAATCATGTTTTTGCTGGAGAAGTGCAAGGTTTTAGTCAACACCATCAGACACAAAGAAATGTAAAAATATATATTTTAAATTAAGTTGTTTCAGCTATTTTGACTATTACCAGCTTCTCTGTTCTACTGTTTATGCACATATGTTTTCAAAGTAATTATACCACATTTAAAAGTAAGATTGTTTTGGCTTTTTATTATTAGAGTTAGGCAGCACGGTGGTTAGCACTGTTGCCGCACAGCAAGAAGGTCCTGAGTTCAATTCCAACATCAGGCCGGGGTCTTTCTGTGTGGAGTTTGCATGTTCTCCCCGTGTTTGCATGGGTTCCCTCCGGGTACTCCGGCTTCCTCCCACCGTCCAAAGACATGAAGCTTGTGGGGATAGGTTAATTGGATAATCCAAATTGCCACTAGGTGTGAATGTGCGAGTGAATGTGAGTGTGAATGGTTGTCTGTCCCTGTGTGTTGGCCCTGCGACAGACTGGCGACCTGTCCAGGGTGTACCCCGCCTTTCGCCCTATGACAGCTGGGATAGGCTCCAGCGCCCCCCGCGACCCTGAAAAGGATAAGCGGAAGCGAATGGATGGATGGATGCATGGATTATTAGAGTTACAGTCATACATATTTTCAGAAGCTTGTATTTAATCTCCATAAGAAACGATCATATTTAGCAGCGTGAAAATTACATATTTATTTAGAAAATTACGTATTTTTATTGGAAGATCATGAGGGAGGAAAATATATGGTTCTTCAAAACAGAAAAATAAACAAAAAATCCATATTATGGAGTTGACAAGTGGTGACACATGAGTAGAAAACAGGATATTATTTCTTTCAAAATGACCATTAAACCTTAACAACCTTTGTAATATCACAAGACACATCATAACAATTCTGTTTTTGCACATGTCAAGTTCTACATCTTAATAGTTCACCAGCAAGTAGCTGCCTACTGCTCCTTGATTCCTAAAGTACTCTGTGGTTGTGTGTTTAGACGCTGCTGGACTTTCTCTCCTTTTGACTCTCTGTGCTTGTTTCCAAAACCTTCTCTTCTGCCTTTTTTTCTCTTCCTTTCAGATCACTGATGTTCTTTATTTTTCCCTCTTTCACTCTATTTCTCCATCTTTCCCTTTATGAGAAACTCAGGCTGGCTGTTAATTTTTTCTCTACTTATTTTTTGATCATCCCTGTTCCTTCTCTTTTGTTCCTCTACTGACAGCTTCCTCTTTGCTATTCTAGCCTGAAATGTACCATTTTGTAATTGCTATAATTTTTCTGAAGCATATGCATTTACACATATTAAGGATGAATATTCACAACACAAATATGTATTAAGCAACAGAAATGCTATCCGGTCTTTAAGTCTGATGTCATTAGCCGTTTCCAGGTCCAAACTCCGCTGCAGATCCCAAAGTCAAAGGAACT